GAAGTCCCAAGTGGAAAAATTTTAAACGTCGCGTCGATGAGATTAGTTGGCTTGTAGGACAGGCACCAAACAACGGTTTATGAATGGCGAGTTTTAAGTGCACAAGTAAATTAACCATACAACGGTCCTTGGTCAACACGGTCAGAGCCCAAGCCCATGCTCTTTCCGGTTCGATCAATTACGGCCACATCCCCGATGACGAGGACCAATATTAAACATACCTTTCATTGACTCAGTCTTGCTGAAGACCACCGCGTTTGAGACAGATACGAGGTACACAAGTTTATTGCCTAGAATACACTTCATATACCAACTTTGAAATTTCATTATGGCAATCCCAATGCGGCTTTTTGAAGCTCTTCCAAATTTTCTTTCGTCTCTCTAGCCATTATCCTAACAAGATTATCGTCGTCGGTGGAAGATATGTAATCGAGTGTGGCACTCATTCTTCGGAACGAGGACTGAACAAATATCCCAGCAGGATTGATCATTGTTTCTTCATATGCTAATTTCGTTGCAGCTCGAATGAGCAACGATAAGAAATGAATTGCAGCGCGACGTAAAGCTGTTATCTTTGAATTCCTCGGCGTTGAGTTTAAATCCAGTGTTGGCCTGCCATCTTTATTTGCTTTGGACTTGGTATCACCTGTGTCGTCCAGGGTTGTGGCTTCCATCCGTCGACTATGCTCTTGCAGTGAAGAGTGTTCAGTTTGTAGTAAATCGATCATTGCTCGCGATAGGTCCTGCGTATAGGGCAGCATGGCCAGAGGATATGTGTCTACGCAATCCGCCAATAACGATAAACACGACGTTCGAAGGGCCAATGGTACGTTGGCATTCCGAACCACAGAAAACATTGGCGGCACCAAAATGTCCACTGTAGACGATATGAGTCAATATTTACCCAAGGGGCGCTATGAGCACTTACCATATAAGCTTAGTGCGGTTCCGCAACGCTTGATGACAGAGCTGAGAGCCTCTCCAATTCGGGTTCTGACATCGAGATCCTGTTGTGTCAAATTTCCAGCGCCAAGTCCACCCAATCTATCTGCGTAATCCTGGACCAGAGCCTGTATAATTTCCTTGCCAAATGTATTGGACAGCGCAGTGAGGCCTTGGACAGCATTAAGATACATGTACGAGTCTTCATCCTGAACAGCTTGTAAAAAGATCGAGAGGATAGACGGAACCAATGCTTGATTGATTTTATGATTCTTGGTGCGCGGTCCCACAAGCTCTCTTAATAGTAGAAGACCATGTGCGCGGACAGGTAGGATTGGATCTTGTAACAGTTTGAGCGCTTTCTGATAAACTTCTTGATCATCCTCGTGTTCTCTCTTGCATGGACTTGTGCCTTTTGTCCCAGAGGTATTGGCCAATCTCGCAGTGATGACAAGCCTGGCTTCCCGTGCTAGCCGCCTCAATGCTGAAGATCCTTTCAGTGCCAACGGCTCGAGTTTTGCGAAGATATCGTTGAAGATGGGATGTGTCCGCGCGGTCAGCGTCTCATCCGCTAAAATATTGCTGAGTTTACCATGAAAAATAGGCATTGGACAATAACACATACCTTCCAGGATGGAAAGAAGTAGTGTAATGGCCGTTTCTATAAGCTCATCGTCCGGACCAATCACCTCTGAATCAGGATCTTCATCGTCGCTATCCGCTTCCTCTAACAAGTCGTCTTGTTTGGGAATAGAGGGAGACGCAACCGTGACATTGGCATTGCCTTCACCATGCAGCGTGAGACTTGCAGCGTCAAGAACGTGGAAAATGAAAGTCAAAAGCTGATCTGGTTTCCTGAGGATGTTCGAAGTAGTTCCTTCGGAGAGTCGTTTTTGCATTTGCATTATGATTTGTAGTTTATGTAAAATCCTTTCGAGCCCTCGGGTAAGAATATTTTTCGCAAATAGATTCTACCCCGGAAAGACGTACTTTATAGAATTTTCATTGCTGCGTCCCTTCATGTAGCGGTAATCTTCAAGAAGATTAATGAAGATGGATGATGCAACATCACCTCGGTCAAGTTGCTTTAAAAGTTTGACGAAGTGAACAGGATCAGGAAAAAAATTGAATATGTTGAGATCAAGATCGTCCGAGTCTTCAAGGTCGCCTGGCATAACAAGGGCAGGGGGATTTGAAGAAGTCTCTTTCCTATTTGAATAAGATGTGAGATATTGTTCGAACAAGATTGTAAGAACACTTACAACTTCGATTTGACGAAATTCCCTTCCAAACTGAATTTCCACTCGTAATCTCTTCCATCTTCAATGATAGACCTTAATATGTTACTACCTTCAGCTTGGTCGACGATTTTTCCCCACGATATCAATAGTCCCACTACAAATTCTTTGAGCTGAGGATCTGTAACTTTACGATGGTCAAAGTCATACAACAAAGCATACAAAGCTGGAATGATGGGTGACAATATCTGGGAGATAAATTGGGGGGAAGGCTCTGTGTTGGACATCAAGACGACCAGTGACCATAAAGCATCGCCGGGTGACAAATCTCGCTGCAAAATTTCTTCGTCCAATTCGAGAAAAGGGAGATGAAGCATGTCCAGAACGAAGATAGCAACGTCACTTTGTTGGGCGTTCTTGGGAACGATGGCGCGGAAGACAACGAATGCTGCTGCTCGTTTGTACTTTGGTTGTGTTTCAGATGTCAGAAGTTTTAGAACTTGAGGGAATATTTCTCTGTAGTATTCCTGGTCACATCAATATAGTTATCGATTTATTGGGAAAGGATTTGACACACTTGAGCTTTCATACTCGAAGGAACACTGTTGACTGTCTTCGCAACTTGTTCAAGTTTTTCATCATCGATGAGAGTCTCGTCGGAAGTGAACATGGCCTCACACAATCCCTTCACGCCACTGGGCCTCTGAATTTGTTTTGTGAGAAGAAATGTGCAGGCTTTGCGAGTATGTAGAGGAGGTGATGGCGACTGCGATGATAAAATGTTGGCAAGGATTGATATCGCTTGTGCTGGGGTTGATCTTTATGAATGTGAACGGGCGACTCGGAAACAAAGACGGGGACTCACAGACGAAGGAAGCGAATGACTAACGCACGGGCTTCATGTAGAGGAGTCACCAACTCGTTCGCCTGTGATTCAGGAAGCCAGCCTAGCGAGATAGAAGGCAAGAGAACATCTTGTGTATGAAACGAGATTATAGTTGTAGTGATCAACGTCTGTGATATCCGACCTTCGACTCCATCAGGGAAAACGAGAGAGAACAATGATATGAGGAGGGCCGAAAGCACTTTGAAATCCTTGCCATTGACGGTGAAGTCTACAATTTTGGAAAATTCCCGTCCTTTGAGAATTGTGCTAGGCCATATGTCGCTGATCCGCCTGAACAGCGGTTCTACTGCCCACTTGAAGGTGAGAGACAGCAGCGTTCGGAGTTGGCCCAAGTCTCGATTTCCGATGGCAGGCGCCTGCTGGAGTGAGTTTTCCTGGATGAGGTCACAGTCCAGGATGCTATTAACCCTTTGCACGACAGAAAGGGCCTCTCTTCCTGTTTGAAATTGGAGATCTTCTACACTTATCTCCGAGTCTTGCAAACAGGTGATGGCATTAGGTAGGCGTGTGTAGTAGCTCGATAAGCGGTTTCTGAGAACTGTTTTAAGGTTTGTGGCAAGGTTTGAAGGCGATGGTGTCCCCAACAAAGCGGCCCCGTCAGCAAGCGCTGCTGCGAGTTTTGAAGCAGAAGATTCCATCATTCATCAAGGCAAGAGGTCACTCTGACGTCGTTGAAATAAATTTCCCACAACTTTGAAAACTTCCCACGATCAACAATACCTCTCTTACGTCCTCTCTTGAGCAGCATTCACATTTTGAAAAATTCTTCCGCATTTACAGTGTCTTGCATATTGTTTTGCACGACTCAGATGCGCGTTGAGGAACCGCGTTGACAGCTTCCCATGCTCACGGTCCCCAAAGCGGACAGGCACCGAGCAGGGTCCCGAGGGTGACTGGAGGGCACCGGCATGCAGAAGCAGGGGCGTGAGCTGGACAAGCAGCCATCATCGGCATGACCATCAACGCGACGCGCCATGATGCGTCGACAGCGCACTGTGAGCGAGTCATTCTGCAGAGGCTCGCGCACTTCGTTTCCGCCTTTGACACGGGCTGAAATTTTTTCTGAACATATATAATTATTTGTAGAATAATTTCCTGGAAGAGAAAGACGAGGTTTCCGCACTGGAGAATTTAAAAAGTAATATGTTCACTTTTAAACACACTTGATAGAATTGGGGGAATCGAGAAAGATATTTTCTTTCAAGCCTAGTCCTGTGTATTAATCATCTTGAATGGACGTAGGCCATCTTTTAATGCTCTCTGATTGGGAGCGGGGGAACGGTGAGTGTCGAGCGCGCCTGTTCAACATCAACGCATGTTGCGAGTGGCTCAGCGCGTCATGGCGCGTCGCGTTGATGGTCATGCCGATGATGGCTGCTTGTCCAGCTCACGCCCCTGCTTCTGCATGCCGGTGCCCTCCAGTCACCCTCGGGACCCTGCTCGGTGCCTGTCCGCTTTGGGGACCGTGAGCATGGGAAGCTGTCAACGCGGTTCCTCAACGCGCATCTGAGTCGTGCAAAACAATATGCAAGACACTGTATGTTGGCTTTCAGCGCTTCAGCTCGGATAATCCTTGCGGAAAAAATGGAATCGTTCGAACCGGGATCGAACCGGTGCGCTGACCTAAACAATATTCCAAAACAAATAATGATGTCATAGCCAGAAGTCGACTTGGAGGAAATTGTTGGGTTGGCACAAGGAAGCTCAAGGTTGCCTTCAACGGTCAACACCCCAGGCCTCAGCGCTTCAGCGCTCAGCGGCCAACAATGGGAAAGTCGGCGAACGCCGAAGTTCCTCCCCAGCCGGGCCGGCCCAACGCAAAGCGAACGATGACGTCAGAGTCGATGTCGAAGGAAAATTGTTGGGCTGGCTACACTGACCAAAACGATATTCCTCCGTCTTTTCAAAAAATGTCCTTCGAACCGGCGTCGATCCGGTGGCCTCGGGATGCGATGTTTTCCAATTACAGTCCCACGCTCTTCCAACTGAGCTATCGAAGGATACGCCTTTACTTCTTCATATACCTCTCTTCATCTGGCGCTCACTCCCTCCACCATCATGGAATCCGAGCCCGAGGAACCTGATTGAGGAGGTCTTGGACCGAATCCACACTTCCCGCATCGACACGTCAACTGGAGCGGTCTCAAACTTGGCGTCGGACGTTCAATCCGCAAAGCCTTCGCCATCCTAGACGAACCGGAAGTTCTCAACACTGCTGGCATTGATTGCTGTTTCCAGAAGAAACAACGATTCGTGAACAGGTTTCGTGGCTGTTAACAAAGGAAACACACGTGTATTTCCGGAAACAGGTATATGTTACTTGTGGAAACAGCCTTAAACCCTGTTCACATACCGCTGTTTCCGAAGGAAACATGAATCACCCCCAGCAGTGCAAGGCATTCCATGACGATATCAGAGTTTTAACCCATTGCACACAGTCCCACGCTCTTCCATCTGGGCTGCGTTGAAAACGAGGAATGGGGTAATGAGGTAAGAATATTAAGTGCCAGTCACTTGTAACAAAGTCTGATGCGTGCAAGACACAACTTGGTCCTCCAACTTGAATGGTCCGTGTCCAATCCGTGTCCGCCGACTTTTTTCTCTGGCTCAAACTCACACTCTGAATCGCCTTTTTTCTTGTATTGACGACATCATGATCAACCATGCGATTCATACTTAATTCAAACATCAAGTCGAATTAGCCTTCGCTACTATTATGTACATTGTATTTCAACTGAATGTATGCCATATTCCAAGTACTGGCGATGGTTTTGAGTTTTGTCGGCAGTAATTGATCTCTTCATAGACATCCTGATCAGGTATTTCTATCAAGCTCGGCTTGAAGCCCCAACTGCCACATGGCCTAACGATTCACGAACCACCCAGCCTTCCATTCAGAAAACGACACCCGTATCTGAGGCACTTACGTGTCGATTTGCGCTAATATAGTCTTTCGATCCGGTTAGGCAATAGAAATTCTAATTGCAGCTTCTTTAGTCTCCTCTATCCCCGACAACCTCCATTGGCCCGCGCTTTCGAAAATTCTCGGAGACGAAGCTACTTTCATCCGTTCCTCGTCCAGAAGAAGGGTCCGGAGCGTGTTTCTCCTGCCCTATGGCTTCAGTTCGAAGTACGTATCCCAGGAGCCAGGAAAGAGGAGCCAGAATCCTGACTGATTTCCTCTGCTTCCTTTGTTCATCCCCGCTTTCTTTAAGACTTTGTAGAACGGAAGGGTTGAACTGTTTGCACCCTCGACTCTTTTCACCTCCACTGTCAGTGCTCAGACTTTCCTGCGAGCATGGCAGAGCTCCCAGCGCCGACGCATGTAGATACCACGTTCGTCCATATTTTTTGTTTCTCGCTGACGTTGTCTAACTCTTTTCCCAGAATGGGTGCGGCGTACATAGGCGTCGTAGCAGCGGCGATGTGAGTAGACTCTATCTGTATTCTATCTTACATGACCACATTCTGATATAAAGAATAGGCTGTACGGAGGTATCGCACCCGTCTTTGCCTTGCTTTCCTAGCTTATCAATTTGTGCAGTTTCTTTTGTGCAGGCATGGTACTACTTCATGAAATACCAGCAAGTGTGTACCATTGAATGATCTTTTTTTCGCGTTGATACCTACCAATTTCAAGGACGTATGGTATATCAAAGCCTTGGTACAGCCCTAATTGGTTCTGCTGTGCGAACTCATTCATTGTCTTCATCTCCCTTCGTTAGGTCGGGTCCATCTGGTTTTTCGAGACAGTCCATCAGGCTCTCATATCGCACACCGGTCATTCTAGCAACTTCAAATATGTTTCAGAACGTCGACTGATTCAAATATAATGCAGTGTACTATTACGTCGTCACGAACTATAATAACCCCAACGTACTTGATAAAATCGTTTGGTAAGTTTGTGCAACCAATGCATTGCTATCACTAATGTGAACTTTTTTCAAGGAGTATACTTGTACGTCGATTTTCGCGATATTGGCGATCACTCACATAATTACCATCAAAAGCTCGAAGTGCTGTTTAATGCAAGTTCTTTTTTCGTGGTCGAAAAAATATCAACTAACCTAATTTCTACAGGGTTTGATCGGTTTGCTAGTTCAAGGGTAGTCTCTTATCTTAATGGAGTCCAATACCTTTTCCGACCATCCCTTCCACCCATTCAGATTCTTAGCTCTGCGTGTATGGAGATGTTCGTATTTCTCATCAACGCTATCAACGGTATATTCACCCGTTTGTTTCAAAGTGAGCGGAAACAACCTCCCGCTGACAGTGGTTGTTGTACGTCCTACAATATGATTGCGTTTATTTTGCCATCTGAAATTTGCGCAGGGCTGTCTAGTTCTAGCAGGATTTGGTGAGTCTATTTCGATGCTACTATGACCTCCTGGCTAACTTGTCCCAAAGGGTGCTCCGTAGGTATGCATCATAGGCAACACTTTAAAGTAAACTCACATCCGAAGCTAATCCTATCCCAGCTTTTACAGCCCAATCGTGCGTCTTTATTGAAACCCATAATTTGATATCCTTCATCATCATCATAGCATGCAACTCCAAACTTGGGCACAGTTGGAAAGACTGAAGGTTACTTTTTCGTCTGCATGCTATAATCGAAGCTCATTCATGATTAGGGACTTTCTATGGCTGTTAACCTATTGGGAGCAATCACCGACGTTCTCATTACCGCGGCCTTGTTCGTGTTCTTACAGAGGTCAAGAACGGGCTTCAAGAAGTAGGTTGTTAAATTTCACCGTATTGGAAGGCCCCTAACTTCTGACCTGAGATCTGACAATATGATCAGTAAATTGGTGAGTTTATTCCTGTGGGATAAAGGTTATCTACTCTAAATTTCCGTTCAGATAGCATTCACAGTTAGCACGGGGCTACTGACTAGCGTCTGCGCTGTGGCTTCTCTCATTTCCGTGAGTTAGATGGATCATTCTAACCTTTTTCTTCTCAATGTTCTCCAGATACTGGCTTCTGGGCATACCTTGATTTACGTAGCATTCTACTTTTCGTTGGGTCGTCGTGAGCTTCCTGCCCTATCTTTTTCCTTCCCAATAGCTCAACTTCCTTGTTCAGTTTACAGCAATTCAGTTCTCGCCACACTAAATGCTAGGCAGATCATCCGGGGGCTAGGAGAGAACAGCGACGAACTCTCCTTCTCGTTACAAACCATATCGAAGACCGATCAAAGAAACCATAATTCAGCGGTAAGCTTGTTCTGTCTGACGGTAGAATATTCTTCTGAGGCTTTTCTAGAGATCGACAAACATATCAATCAAAATTGACGCCATACACGACTTTTTGCGAGAACAACAGCTTGAACACGATGACTCTTTGCAGGCAGTGGTCAGCGTCTTTTCACAATGTTCCGTCGATCCTTTGGCTGATGGTCCAATTAGTCTCCAGTGAGTTTGGAGAAATCGTTCTGAAGTCGCTTTCAACGCACTATACCCCTTTCACAATACACTTTCTTGGTGTACACTTGTAATTCTCGTAGGTTTCCTGGACTGAGGCCGCACATTTGTATCTAGTGCACAGGATGGGATGGGATGTATATATGATTGTATTAGCATGACAGCCACAGAAAACACGAACCTTGTATTTTTGCATTGCGCCATCAGACCTGCAACCAGAATTATGCTCGCCGGGTCACTATTTAACGCTCAGCTGCGGAAAAGGACCGTCAAGCCGTCGACAGATCACAATGCTATACTTTGCATTACTTGACACAATCATTTACTTCCGTAAATTTCCAAATTCATATATGGTCAAATATGGGATCTCCCTCTCGCCAAGCGATGACAACTTGCCTCTGAAGATCACCGAGACCTGAATGCCTTACCTTTTGCCGTCCATCAAGCTCGGGCTTGACAAGTCGGATAGCTTTCTGGATGCATTCGGGGTGCCACATCATGTCACCTTTCTTTGGATTCAACGCTGACGAAAGCAGCAGGTCTTTGAACTCCCGGACCACGTATGCCTCCGCTCATGACTAGCTGCAGCTTGGCTGGCTCTACACCTTCGCAGACGCAGGAAAGCAGCATCGTCCCGGAACGTCTATGAGCGCTATCTGGATCAACGCCACAGCTGGCGAAGAGCTGTTTGTACCGTTGGTACTTCAAAGTACCGAAAACTTTAACGATGGACGCTGTCAGTGTCGTTTGCTCAACCGACATTGTACAGTCCCCGTCCAATCACTTCTTGCAAATCTCTGCGTGGTTATCAGCCTGTCGATGTCTTTCGTACCCTTAAGGCATTTGAGAAGCGTCTATTATAGCAGATTCTCCGTGCATCTGGAAAATGATGGTTTATTGTAAGGGTTCGCTCAAAGCTACGGTCGCGATTGATGCGGACAATCTGGAGGGATCTTAACACGCGCACAAAGGCGTATCATCAACGGCGCCTGAATTATTCATCGATATACCTTACCTGTCGAGGCATTGGATAATATTCAAAACAAAAGTGATGTCTGTCGCCGCCTCGTGGCCCCGAGCGTGCTATAAGCAGCAACAGGTCTGCTGAACCGCGGACTTCTATCGTAATTTGGGACTACGATCTATGAGAAGGGACCAAAATCTCGTCCCGTCATCCGAATGGGGCCTGATCCTGTCCCGGTAGTACCTTTTAATATCGTACTTAAAGCCCTGAACGCATCGCTACGCAAAGCAACACAATTTTTATTTCTTTCCCTTCATTGCCTCCGTCCAGCTGCGATGGTTTCAAATTACTTCATTGCAGCCAACATCCCCGTCGTTCTCCTCGTAATTTTCCTTATGCGGGCCTTTCTTCGGTCGAACAAAAAGCTCTCCCTTCCTCCTGGTCCCAAAGGCCTTCCGCTGGTCGGAAACATCCTCGATATGCCCTCTGAGAAGGAATGGTTAACTTTTGCTCGTTGGGGGGAGCTTTATGGTACGCTTTGCAGACTTTTGCAGTATTTGGAACCTCTACTGAACGAATGTCATAGGAGATATCTGTTCGGTCACTGTCCTTGGAC